ACAGGAATTAGGGGTTGCATGCTCTGTAGAAAAATGTCAAACAACAGTAATATTCCTCCCCTAAATATCTTCATTGGTCTATGTTCTAAACAATCACTGGGGCTACTGCTGATCTGTTATCAGTCTTTTAATGAGCACGGTATTCTACGTGGAAGCTAATTTGGAGAATTCCTAGTTATGTACATGCAGACTCAGCTATGCATGTTTAATTTGAAAGTAACTTCATTATAGTTCAGAATTATTCGAGATCACTTCAGGTGCGGTTCAAGCCTCCAGTCCCTGTGGTGCTTCCTATTCCTGTGTTCACAGAGTAGACAGGAAATAAACAGCGGTCGCACAAAGACAAAGGAACAAAATACTTCTGTCAACAGAGATTGCAGTTTGAGGGACATCGCCTCTTCTCTTCTTTGAGCCAACTCTTCCAGATACCTCGCCATCACCTCCACGCCAGCTCAGGACATCATTGGGGGAATGCTTTTGAACAAAAAGTACATTGACTAGACGAAGCAATTAAACCTAGCCCCGCATTAAGCCAAGTTTTTAATGCAGTGGATCTAAAGTGTACCCTGAATTAACCATGCTATCCAGTGTCTGTCAACTGTTTACTGTTTGCAGATATTTAAGGGCTTAGCTCAGCTCACCAAACGGTTAAAATAACCAAATCTCAGGGTTTTATTTATTTGGAAAGAACCTCCAGCAACTTTTTCCATCACCTGCATTAAATGCACACGAGCCCCAAGGCCAACCACATGTATTGACAACAAAGCTTCATAAAAGCCACACTTAAGTTATCATACATTTATTTTTAACATAGCACCCCAGTTTCACATCATGTACATTTTCCAAAGTTGAAGATCTTTAACCAACTCTATTCTTCACAGATTTCACGACAAGTGTGAAAGAGAGGCAGTAAGGTTAGCTTGAGTCTACAAGTCAAAACTCCAAATATAGGATATCCCCAGGGACTGATTTATGTCCAAGATCAGTATACATAATGACCCCAGCACATAGCAAATGAATGAGACTGGCTGAGTAAAACATTAACACAATTTGTTAGCACATTATCATGAAAAGACAAAAGGCATCAAATATATACTTTGCTGTTACACATTTTACTGCTCGATGCACCTGTAGTGAAAAAAAAATATACATTTTGTGACTCTTGAGGTGAAAATAGACCATCAGTTCAGTCTCTCTGTTTCCCAATAGCTATGGAGACTAAAGTGGCTCTTCTTGCCTCTGGCTCATTTAAATATCTTATTTGTGCTGAAGACAGAAAGAATGGCAGTGTTAAAGAAAAGGGGCTACCTGGTCCCCAAGATGGATGCAGATGAAGCGCTCACACAAGTGGCCTTAAGACAAAACAGGAACAACCTAACTCAGTTGATCCAATCTCCACACAATAGGGTTGTTCCATCAACTGTTCCATTCCTAGTGCAGAGTTCCTTGAAGAAGCGCTAACAGTCTAGTCCTGTTGTCCAACAGTGTGCCTTAGGACATAACTAGTACCTGCAGATTTCCTTACTGCAGTCCCCAAACTCCAGGTCAAACCTCCTCAAAGTTCGGTGGTCTTCAGTATCACAAGCCTACTTTCTCCTATCTCCCAAAATCACAAGATTAGCTTACAGCCAGGCAGGAGGACTCACAAAGCATGAGAAAGAAACATGTCCCAGTTGTTGAGAGCAGAGCAAGGCTTTTATGACTAAAACAATGGAAACCCTGCAATGCGTTTTAGCAAAGGTGTCTTTAGCATCAGGTGTGTTAGTAAATGCCTAAAAGCAAATGGATACCTGGGATGTCTTGCCCACACTAACAGACTGGCTGCTGCAGGGCAATCTTAGGATTTGCTGGTAAGGCAGCCTCTGAGAGCCTATTTTTGAGGAGGAAGGCAGCTCTTGGAGTCTGCTTGCATTGTTTTTAAAGTCTGGCCCACTATGTCTGCTGCCCTTGAAGTTGTTCTTGGGCGGGTCATGGAACTAGATGCATTTCTCACTACAAACAGGCAAAGCAGGGTGGCTATCAGAGTAATACCTTCAAATTGCCATTGCTCACTCATCTGGTGGCGTGTGTGTTAAGGGCGTGTCTCCTTCAGTCCGTGCCGAAGGAGCAGCTCGACATGCCAGGCCAGCACTCCAAAATCCCAAATCCCCACTTCTTAGCAGGAACTCCATCCACACTGATTCATGCTGCAACGCCCCCTTCCAAAACACTCAAAACTAAATGGCAAAGTCAACTGAGCCTTTGAAATCGGAGTTTAAAAGAGCACACTTGAAACCCAGTAAACCAGGTACAAAGAGAAACCAGAGTTACTAGTGTTTTACTGAAAAAGAGGAAAAAAGACCTTCCACTGATATTTCATTTTTACATTCATGACTGTTCAAACCAGAGCCAAGTAAGCCCTATTCCTATTTGTCAATAAGATGGGAGGAGCTGATGGCTAATACATTTGAAATTCTTTCTTTCTCCCATTTGAAAAATCATATCCCCTTGGTGATATCTAGTTGGGAGGATTCAAGACTGTGATGAACAAAAGGTTTTTAGCTCCAAGGTGTTCAATGTAGTTGAGATCCATCCAACTAATGCGTAGAAGAATACATTTGCAAATGTTGTGTTAACTGAGGGAGTACTCAATCTCAGATCTTAACTTACTGATCTTCTGGGTACACATCTATTACCATGGCTGTGAAATCATCTAAGAAATAGACAAATATCATTTAGAAATAGACTGTAGAATCAAATCACATCTGAAGAGAAGAATGCCTTATGGTAATTCAGGCATTGGTAGGAAAATTCATGTTTTTGATTATTCACCCTAAAAAAAGGGGGGGGGGCTGAAATTCAACATTTGTGGCCCAAATAACCAAAGATATATTGAGGAAAACTATAACATAACTTACTACCATACTGAGTTCATTTCAATCACAGTAGTCTATTTTAAAAACAAACTCCCATAAGGAATACAGGAATGGAATCCACTCAGAACAACAGCTGTCAAAAGTTCTGCCAAGAAACTCAGAGTAACTTATTGCATCATGAAAGGCGAGGTGTTCAGAAGAACAAATAGTTCAATCATATTCTTTCCCTTGAGACTGTATTTTTTGCTTCAATCCAAGAGACATTTTTAGACCAAAAACTCATAAAAATATTGTTTTGTATTGTAAGACTGATCAATCAAGTCAATGAAATCGAATATGGTAAACAGAAGTAACCCTTCTATTTTTAGTATTGCTAGAGGCTCAAGGATGTAACCAAGAATCCATAAAATCAGGCTGGCATTGCAAGTCTGCCACTAGCTACCCTCTTTCTATTTTTCTCAGGCCAGGAACTCTGGTTCTTTGGGGCCTTCGTTTCACCACATACAAACTGCAGGAGATGGTGACAGGTCCTTCTCAACCCGAATGACATCCTAATTTTCCACTGACAGTAAGACACACACAACTTTGAGCTAAGCTGCCTCTTCTCCCAAACAGGTCCAAAGTACTTCCCTAAGGCATCTATAAAGCAGCTAAGATCCTTCCAACTTAGACAAATTTCTGCCCCGAATACAACACACAACTCATTCCAGATATTTATCTTGTGGTTCTGCTTCCTGCCTGCTGGAGAAGGAGGTGGCAAAGGCAATATGCCACATACAAGAGACACTGAGAAAGCCAATGAGCCTGCTGTAACTCCTACTGTGCTTCCATTAATGGGGCTCTAAGTCCTCCCCATGGGAAAGACCACTTCATGACAAGGTAATTAAACTCCCATGGATGGGGGTGACATCAACCTTCCGTCTACAGAATTCTGCCCAGCGGATAAGTCTAATTTTGGTGCTGTTTTATAAAAAAAGAATAATGATGATTTTAATAACCAGCCTTCCTATGCACCAAATTAAAGGCTCACAGAAACATTATCATGAGTTAAAATCCTAAATTTTTAGGTACATACTACGAAAACAGAAACAGGAAGAGCACTGGTTAGGGAATAACAGTAACGCACGTGCATATGTACATGAATTACCTGGGCTTTAAAAATCAACCTAATCATGCTTACAATCAAGTCCAGCCAAGAAGGCTGGGTGCAGATATTCTTGGTGTGTGCGTTAATGCAAAGCACGCCTGCCTTAAAAATAATGGTGAGACCATGAAACTTAGAGGGCTCTGATTGTCCGATACAATTTTCCCCCCTTGAATGAGAACCAAGCCAACTAAATAAAATCTTATCATTTGGCTCACTGGCTTCATGGGGAGGAAAAAGCCTGTTAGTATTTTTAAAATGCAGACTACAGACTGCCATTCCTTGGCTTTGATGTCTGGTTAACGGCTATGAAGTGCTATCCCGAGTACGTACATGTGTGTGGGGAGATGAGATCAAGTACATATGCTAGTCTTTCCAAACATGCTAGAAGATGTCTGCCATGAGAACACTGTTCAGAAAATGGGCTACAGCCCCCAGATCTCACAACATGGGGAAAGGGGTCACGTAAAAAACCGGCACTGACCCAGTCACGGTTTTAGGAAGAGTTTAAACTCACTCCCAACCCTTCCTATGGGAACAAGAGAGGCAGCCAAAGGGAAGAAAAATGAAAGAGAGAGAGACAGATCAAGTTTCATGATTTTCAAAATCAAATCAATTCCAAATCCTTAAGTACACACAGAACAGAATCAACACTTTCTTTTTTCCCTTTGGAAAAACAGCATTGTCTGTTTGCACCGTTCTCTTCGGCCATTAAATTATTAATAAAGCTTGACAAGGGGATATGCAAGCATCAAATCAATGTCTATTTTTTTCTAAGAGCTCTCAGCTCTATTGAAATGGAAGACTTAATCCTACGTATTGGGAACCTGTCCAAAACTACTACAAAAAGGAGCCTAGGCATATTGTATCTCTCTAGCCTAAGAATGGGCAATGTAGCACAATGCACTAGGGATAGTACTTCCTGCGTTAGTCTAAGTGATGTTTAAACCTGTAGGCCCTGATCCTTGGGAGAGTCAGTCAACTCCTACTTTCGACTTGGGTGCTGGGCTCTCCAATTTGAGCTTATTCTTTCCCATCACTTACACTGGAGACACTTGGTTCCTCTGAATTGGATCTAACTCAATCACTTCCCAAAGGCATACTTCACAGAGATCAAAATAGATCAATCCAGTGTGAGGACTGGCTTTCTTTCATTATGTCTTCATACCCAGTATGTTCTCAATACAGGTTAAAATAACAAAGACAAAAATAACTACCAGAGGTTGCTGGATTGTTACTAACAACCATTTCCCCCTTCCACCCCGTTTGGACACCTCAGTCCAAACAACAAATGTTTATCAATCCAAACAGTCTTATCAGCCTTTCATGTTTGATGGGTAATTTCCAAACTCATGCATTTACAGATATGCTGCCCTTATGCAGGATAAAAGTTGAGATCTGGCAACTATTTATTTAATTTGATAGGGCGAGGCAGTTAAAGCAGATTGCTCTTGCCCAAAATTTGACATGAAAGGACTGAGTTATCTGGGTTGACAGCCTAGCTTGCCCAAGTTAAACAGATCATTGCCAAAACCTCTGCTTTATAGAGGTGTAAAGACCCAGTAAGTCTTTTACATTCAATAGAAAACAATAGTCATGTATTATTTATAGGTAGATATAATATCAAAATGGCACTAGAGAAGCAATTTTTGGCATATAGTGGTGGGGGGCACAGCGCCAGTCTAAATCTGATGGTTTCATTTTATCTTTTATGTTTATTTTTATTATCATCATGCCAAAGACTACCCAGTTGGAATCCCAATTATTCAGGAACCCAACCTACTGTATATGATGTGCATACAAAAATAAAACAAGCATCCTAAAGGTACTTGGTTTTAAGATTTGTACCTATCATAAACTCTTTAAATAAATAATGCTCTAAGATATTTATTTATTAGCTAGAAGATTGATTTTTGATAAGAAGCAGCATCTAACACCTTGAAGGAGTACTGAAGAATGGGATAAATTCTACTGCTAATTACTATTTCAAGTGTGATGATCAGTTGAAGTATATTTTCCACCACAATAAAACGTACAGGTGAAGTGTAAGAGAAAAGGTGGTATGGATTCTATTCCACTGCTCACAGCTTTGGACACAGACATCTGTGACAAGGAGTCAGGCCCAAACATTCGAAGGGAAGATCTTGGCAGGAAAGGTCACTTGAACCTTGGGAGGTCAGTCACAACACCGTGACAGGACGAAGTTGTTCTAGTTGGTTTTCCAGCGCAATCCGTTCTTGATGAACCTCCTGAGTTGCGAGAAACAGAGAGAAGAAAAACAAAAGAGCAAACAGGTCATTTTCTAGATTCATCCCTACTTTATCAGATACTCAGAAAAACCCATACCGGGACACAAATATGTAAGTCCTTCATGACTCAAGGCCAGGAAGACTGGACAACAGCAGAGTAAAAGCTGGGGACCAGATACAGCAGCCCTTTAGCATCTCTCAACTTCTTTCTGATGATGATGAAATGAAACTGACACTCCCATTCACCTTCATCTCACCCATAGGTTCAACAGAATCAATGGCTTGCAGAGAATGGCATCAAAAAATGCAAGAGTGACTGAGAGGGAGCATAAAGGCCAAAGTCAACTCTCATTACTGAGAAGTGAGCCCCGGGGATGAAATGTCTAGATGCAACCCCTCAATTCTAACTCAGTCAGGTCTCAGGGTTAAAAAGGCACTAAAGTCTCACATCTCTCTACCAAATTCTTATCTAGTCTCCTGCATGAAACTCAACTTAAGGTGTAACTTCTAAGGGACAGGCAGGGAAAAAAAAGGGGGGGGGGATCAGCAATCAGCTATTTGGGAATTAAAATTTACAGCCCTAAAACAGATTTCTGGGAGGGAGGGAATGGGAAATGACATATAAAAGGGAGTCTTAAGTCGAATCAGTCAAGTTAAGAAAGACTTCTATTCAGAGGCTCAATTCTGAGACGCCCTAGAAAAACCAACAAGCTAGCAGTCAGCAGAGAACTCGACAAGCACTTATTCACTACTTTCCTTTCCACCATCCAATAGTATCTGAGCATCTATCTACTACGGGCCAAGCACTGCTCTAAGTGTGATGATATCAGCAAAGAACAAGATAGAGAAGACCAACGATTTCATAGGGCTTACACTCAAAAGGCTAGAGAAAGGCAAGAAGGACATTTCAGGAGGAAGTAAGTAAGATGATGTACTGGAGTGTAACAGAGGGGGAATCTGGGAGAAAGGTGGAGGGCGTGGGTGGAATGAGGAAGTGAGCCATGTGACGATATGAGGGAAAGCTCCTCAGGCGGACGAAACAGCAGCTGCAAAGACTTCGAGGAGGAAATAAGCTTGGCATTTTTGATGAAGAAGGCCCGCATGAGGAGGCAGAAAGAGCAAGGAAGACACAACAGGAGCCAGACCGTTCGGGCCTCGCGGACGAGTCAGGAGCGTGGACTTCATTCTCCGTCATCTCCCAGCACATGGCAGTTGCCCATTTTTGGTCCTCTGGGCAGAAACTTCAGCCTTTTCAAGTTGCATGCATCTGGGGCCAAGTGGCAGAGGACTGACACAGAGGGGGAAAGCTCTGAAGTGTGACCCTGTCCTTGGTGCTGTGGCATCACCAAGAAGTAGGTGCCCTCCCTCTGAGTTTGGGTTCCTGTAGGCTTCCACTCGTGGCAGCTGCTGTTCCAGCCCCAGCGTCCTCAGCCTCTGCCAGCCTCCCAGAGGCCGGGGAATGGGAGAATGGAGAAAAGGAAGATTAAAATCCCCAAGGGACATTCTCTGGGTTTTAAGAGTGCCCTTGTACGCCCCTCAGGCCAGAGCTAGATGGATTCCTCTGGCTCTCCTTCTGTCCATCCCACAGGGCTCACTTTTGGACTTCAGGCCATGTTGAGTCCAAGCCAGACTAGCAAAGGGGAAAAAGTATTATTTTTGCAGTACTTTGAAGTCTGGGGTTTTTCACAGATGCACCTGTTCATATTTAGTTTTCAGAATTTTCAGACAGATGTCCGTGCATTTGGCCTAAGTTTTCTAGTAATGTTGGTGGCAGATAAAGGGCCATGTGCTTTTACTGCATCTTTCCCAAATCAGAACTCCATTTCTGACTTTTTAACAGCAACACTGAAAGCTAGACAGTGATGCCTTCAAAATTCTCAAGGAAAATTAGTTCCAACCTAGAATTCTTCAGTCACTCACACTATCAATTACATGTGAGGGCAGAATAAAGTCCTTTTCAGACATACAAGGCTTCCAGAAAAGTTTATCTTCTATGCACCCTTTTTCTTAGTAATGTGTGTCACTAAAAAGAGGAAGCCCACCAAGAAAGACGACAAACTACAGGAAAGGAGAAGGGAATTGCTTGGATGGTGATGGAGACAGACCACAAGATGGCACCTGTGCCCCAGGTGTGTAAGAGGCAACCAGCACAGGCTAGGTCAGGTCGGGTTGGAGGACTCTCAGAGAAGCTTCCTGAAGAAGAGGAAATTGAGAAGAGATGCACAGAACTGACACAGCCTGGGGCTGAACTGCTTATAAGCAAAAGAAAATTATATCAATGAAGAAACAAGACAATTATTAACTCCAAGGAAAGCAAAACGTCTTGCAAGAAAAGAAAGATACTCAAGTTACACCAGATGGCTCAGCTGGATATTGCTCAGTAGCAAAACAGGCAACACCACTTAGAGGGGAGGAGCTAACGACCCAGAGAACCCGCAAGCCAACGGCCCCTAGATGGCAAGGGAGCATGTGAGGGCAGACGAGTGTAGAGCTATTTGTAGAACAACCTTATAGAACTGTGGAAACTTAAACTTTGTACGTATGTAATCTGGATAAAAACTCTGTACGTATGTAATCTGGATAAAAGCAAGTAAAAAAAAAGAAACTATTTGGTATTGTACTGAAGGCCTTCGTTTTTCAAAGAAAAATGAACAAAAGTCATAAAGATGGGAAGGGCAGTTCTACAAAGATATGTGTGTGTGTGTATGTGTGTGTGAGAAATCTAAGGAATCTATAATACTAATAAATGATTAGTCACAGGAAACGAATTCCACACACAAACCAACTATATTTTTACATATTTGCAGTAAACAATCAGAAAATGAAATTTTAAAAATTCAATTTATAATTATGCTACAAAACACTTGGGAGTAAAGTAAACAAAAGCTGTGTAAGATTTGTACGCTCTAAACTCAAAGCTGTTGTGAGAAATTCTAAAAGACCTAAATAATCAGAGAGAGATACACTGTTCATGGACTGGGAGACTCAATATTATTTACTCGTCAATTCTCCACAGATTGAACTACAGAGTCAGTGCAAATCCTATCATAATCCTAATAGGTTCCTTTGTAGAAAATGACACACCAATTCTAGAATGTATATGAAAATACAAAGGGCCTAGAACATCTCAAAACCGAACCAAAAACCAAACTCACTGCCATCGAGTCAATTCTGACTCATAGCGACCCCCTTTGGGTTTCCGAGGTAATAAATCTTTATGGAAGTAGATTGTCCAGTCTTCCTTCTGCAGAATGGCTGTTGGGTCTGAACCACCAACCTTGTTGTCAGCAGTCAAATGCCTTAGGCACTATGCCACCAGAGCTCCTTAGAACATCTCAAGGATCTTGAAAAAGAACAAAGTTGAAAAATGTATGCTGTGATTTCAAAACTTACTATAACACAACAGTAATCAAGACTGTGGGAGCTCTGGTAGCATAGTGGCTAAGGCACTTGACTGCTAACCAGAAGGCTGGCGGTTCAAACCCACCAGCCACTCCTCGGAAGGAAGG